GTTATCTAAATACAGCAGGGGGATACTGCAGAGTTAGTTTGAAATTAAGAATGGCGTTTATCAGGCTTGTATTCTCTTTCCATACCTGTATCCTGAGTAATTTATTCGAGAAGCTGAATTCTATGAAAATTAATGTGGCATCAGGATTGAAGGAAGATTCAGCAATAACCTTCGTTATGCAGATGACACAAACTTGCTCGCTAAAAGTGAGGTGGACTTGTAACACGTGTTGCAGAAGAACGAAGCCTTCGATATGGATAGTATTTCAAATGTGACAAAAACACAGATTCTTACCACTGGACCAATAGGCAACCTCATGTTGGATGGAAAAGATATTGAAACTGTTAGTAACTTCATCTTACTTAAATCCACAATTAACACCTTTGCTACCAGCAGTCAGTAAATAAGGAGACTCATGGCATTGGGAAAGTCTTCAGTTAGGGACTTCTTCACATTTTTGAGGAGTAATATCAGTTTGAGGACTAAGGTGTGACTTTTTCAGGCCATGGCAGTTCCAGTCACTTTCTATGCATCAGATTGCTGGACAGTGAATAAAGATGACTGGAGAATTGATGCCTTTAAGCTGTGGTGTTGGAGCAGAGCACCGAACATACCATGGATGGCTAAAAGAACAAATATTTCATGGAGAGGGTGCAGCCAGAATGCTCTTTGGAGGCAAGGATGGTCAGGCTATTTATTCCTCACATGCTTTGGGCATGTTGCTTGGAAGAGCTATTCTTTGGAGAAGGATGAGGGTAAGCAAAGGAGAGGAAAACCCTTTACCAGGTGGATTGACATGGTGACTGCCATAGTGGACTTCGTGTGTCAGAAAGTCTGATGTTGGCACAGGACAGGACAGGTTTCAGATCAGTTGTTCTTAGGGTCACTATGAGTCGCTCAACTCACCACTGCCTAACAATAACAAAGTCCTTCAGGTTCTCTCTGGTCTGCATTGCAGCTTTGGAGGAATTTTGCCTTATTGTAGTCCCCTCTCTCAAACTCTGCTGTCCTCCTTTATCTATGCAGTCCCAGACCAGTGTGAGACCAGGTATTGCACTTGAGCACTTTCTGTTCAGGGAGGGATTTCAAGTCAGCGCTCTTTCTTGCAGCTCAGCATTGCAGCTGAGGTATTTACCTTGCTTGTAGCTCTCTGTCCTAAGCTCTCTTGTCCTATTTGGTACCTGGAATGGCTCTGCAGCAGCAGAGGCAAGGATCCCCAAATGGAGAGACCTTTCGGTAGGGAAATTTCAGTCTCTTCTCACCCCTCACTCTTCTGGGGAAGAGTGTTTTACCTGATAGTGCCTTCTCCCCTGAAGCTTAAGGTCTTCCCTTGCCTCTCATGGCACAAGATAAGGGATACAAACTTAAGCAATTTATGGGCAGAGGGTCTCAAGTCAGCTATTTTTCTTGCAGAAAGCTGAGAAAGTCTTCCCTTGCTTGTAGCTCTCTCTGGAACTCATGGCACATCAGCAAGGATCCCAAATGGAGACCTTTCCCCAGAAAAATTTCAGTCCCTTTTCTTCCACCTGCACGCACCTAATGTTCTGGCTCTGTGACTCACTGAACTTTAATGAGCATTTATTTTCTCACTTTTCATGTACCCTGTAAAGTTAGTACCTCTTACACATGTTTCTATATGCTCCTCTCCCCTTTTCTAGAATTTCAACCACAGATACCTTGTTTTGTTTAGAGTCATCCCACGCAATTCTTATCTTTTCTTCATTTTCCTGCTGTCCCCTCACTGTCTTCCTGTAAGTTCTCATAGAGGTTCTTGTCTTCTAGCTCAGTGACTCTGTTCTAGCTAGATCTTTTAATCTTCTTTTTTTGTCCCTCTAACATATTCAGAATTTTGACACTATCTTGTTTTGTTATATTCCAGGTTACATTTTCATGCTTTTCTATTACTGCATTGGTTGTATCCTCATATCTTGTGATATTTTTTTTTAAATTCTTGTAGCCCTTTACTTATGGTTTTATACCTTTCTTTCATAATTTGTCACTTCTTCAGTACCTGTTGTTGGAACTCCATATTGGTGTATATTTTTTAAAAAATTGTATTTCATGCTAGTTTATATACAAAGTTCATATGCATTGTTTTTCCCCTCAGACTTTCTCCTTTTGCCTTTTTTTCAATTTGTTGGGTCCACAATCTGGTCTTCTTCTTAAGGATATTTTACTTTTTAGTAATGTTTGAACCTGAGTTCTGCTTCATTGACAGTATGTGGATTTCTTCTTGATATGTATGTGGCAGCTTCTGTTGTGTTTGAGTGGATAGTTGTTAGTTCCATTTAAAAAAATAAAGAGACATCTCTGTTGGTCTCTGTGTACGGGAAGTCCTCTAGTAGATTGTTGGTTCTGAGCACAGCCTCCACTCAAGACTCTTGATTGACCACACATTCAGCCAGAGTTAGTAGTCCTCAGTGCCAACTGGAAGTGATGGCAGAATAACTGCGCTTAACTCCCAGGAAGTTTGCCCTGTGCTGTAGGATAGAGTTCTGGATGCTTAAAGAGGCAGGATGCTCCATGGCCAGGCCTTGCTATGGCAGCTCAGACAGGTTTTCAGGTGAATGTGTTTGTGTGGAGCTGGACACTCCAGATGTACCTCAAGGGAAATGTGCTTTGTTGCTTTCTAAGCCATCTGTGTAGATTATTGGCGATTCCTGTATCCACTCCTTAACACCATCAACATCAGCTAAAAAGGGTAGCAGATGAACCTGACCTGACTTACTGGAAAGTCTGCCCTATTTGTTTCAAAGGATTAAGCTACAGAGATGTCAATAGAATGTTTACTTGGTAGTCAGCTTCACTGCACAGGCTTTCTGTGGCCATTCTTGTAGCTGTCAGGCGGGATCAGAGGAGGTTCTGGCACTCTACGAACCAACGCTTAGGGAGATCACCTTGGTGATTTTAGAGCAAAAGGTTGAGGTCTTTTCTGTGTGTACAGGCAGGAGCTGTGGTGTTTAGAAAAATGGGCTGTTGTTCTGTGATCACTACCTTAGATCAGTGTGACTAGCGGGAGTCAAGGATGGTGGGAGAAACAATTTTCCTTCTGCATGTGACTCATTGTTGAGTTTGACTTGTCTGCAGTTCCCTGCTGCTTTCATCTCCTTTCTCTCAGTGTTCCTTAGTTATGTGCAGTGGTTTCTTATATTTCTTGTTCTTTTTGTTGGGGAGAGTCAGAATGATGGGTTGTTTATACTTCTTCCAGAATTCACCCAGTCTTTTAAGTTACATGACAATTTGAGTGCTGTTACTTGTTACCTCATTGGGCCTTGTATTAGGGATAGAGATTGTCCTCATAATGATTTTATAAATGTAGGCAATAAGACCTTGAGAGCTTGCCTGGCTTACTCAGCATACATAACTGAATAAGTGAGCAGAAGCAGATAGTGACTAAATCTGGAGACTTTGTAGTCTTGTGTAATTTAAGTTTAAATACTAGTTTTGCCATTTCTGTAGTGACAGTGTTAACCTGTTATCAGGATGAGCCACTCCTTAGAGAGGGACAGTGTATCTGGAAAAATAAGGGTCAGTAAAAGAGAAGAGGATCCTCAGTAGTATGTATAGACAGTTTTCTAGTAGCAGGTTTGAATACCCAGAGAGTGTGAGAGATTGCAAGGTTGGGCAGGATCTCATTCTGTTATACATAAATTGGCATACTCCTTGCAGATAGAGCCAACTCAGTGTCACCTAATACAAGAATATTACCCTGCACGTCTTACTCACATGTCAAATGCAAATTGTATTATCTCATAGCTGACCCTCCATTGGGTTTTCAAGACTGTAAATCTCACATAAGGAGATTGCCCATACTTGTACCTCATTGTTGCTTGTGGATTCAGTAAGTTTCAAAACAAAACACCAAACTTATTGTTGTGAAGTCAGTTGTAATCCAAGATAATCATATCTATTAGAGAACAGAACTTCTCCACAGAGTCTTCTTGTCTGAAATTCTTTCAGATACAGATTACCTTGTCTGTCTTCCACAGGGCTGCTTGTGGATTCAAATTAATATTGCTGTGTGCCATCAAGGTCATTTCAAATCACAATGACCTAAGGCGACAGAGCAAAATTGCTCTCAGCTGTAGAAGTTTTCCTCACGTGTAATCTTTGCATAAGCCAATTGCTAAGTCTTTTCTCCCTCCATATGAGGTTGATGGATTTGAACTGACAACCTTCCACTTTACCAGCTGAACCCTTTACCACTACGCCATGAGGACTCTTTAGCCTTTGGTAATTGGATGCTGTTTGTGCCACCCAAAGACTTCCTAAATTAATGAATGAATGAGTCTCTCTAAAATAATTGAGGCTACTAAAAGTACCCGAGTTATGATCAATACTTTAATAAATCATAGCTATTTTCCTATTCTCAGTGAAAATATCAACATATTTCTTATCCTTTTAAAATAATAGGTAACTGTTCTTGACTAATAGTTGATCCTCCAGAGGGTTTTCAGATGCAGTAAATTTGCTTGAGAGGAGATTGCCCATCCTTCTCCCACAGAACAGTTGATGGATTTAAACCGTGTCCCTTTGGAATTGCAGGACAATTTATTAACATTGGTCTACCAAAAATCCCTAATACCTAATTACTTCCAGTGAAAGTAGCTCTTATGGCATAGTGTGTAGGGAGTTGCACTGCAAACCCAGAGGCAGGGAGTTCAAATCCACCAGCTACTCTCCAGGACAAAGTTGAGCAGTCTCCTCCCATGTAATTTACAGCTTCTAGAAACCTACTGGAGGGTCAGCTATGAATCAGTGGTGACCGATGGCACACAAAAACACTGATTATAGTAAGTTCATCTGTGTTCTTGAATGCTGTGTTAATGGTTCACTTCTTTCCATCTAGTTGTATAGACCTTGTTGGTACAGAGATAATTTATTAACCCTTTGATGACGAGAACTATTTTACTTTCTGATATGAAATAAAGATTTAATGAGAGTGTCACTTTTTACCAAATAAGAAGTAAACACTGTTATCTTCATTTCCTCTTTTGTAGTTATGTGCTGCTCATCTCTCAGCGGAATCAGAGGCACCAAACCATTACCAGGCAGTATGCCGGGCACTATTTGCAGAAACAATGGAACTGCATACTTTTCTGACTAAAATTAAGAGTGCAAAGGAGGTAAGTTCTAGTCACACATTATTTCTTGTCACAGTGAAGAATAAAACTGTATTTTTAACATTGTATTTGATATAATTGAAAACTTTTATTAGTATCCTTCTGATGAATGCTGAAAAACATTAGGAGGAAAACTCATTAAGACATAGTTAAAAGTATTTTTCAAAACTTCAATATTGTGAATCCATTTTATGAAACACCTATTTTCACAAAAGAAATGGGAAATCAATATTACTGAATTTGTTTAAATGATTTCCAGTGAAAATTGCTCGTCTTTTCTTTTGCCCATTTTGTAACACTTTTCCACTTCTTTCAGAACGTAAGGACTCAGAAAGTAAGTGACACATCGATAGCATTTTTTACTGTGGGTCTGATAAATATTTAATGATGTTGAATAAATACTTAGATAATAAAAAATATTATTTTAGCTATTTTTTTACCATTTATCAATGTCTTTGAATGAAAAAAATATTACACTAAGAGGCACATTTTAACTTACTTAAAAAGGTGAGTCACCATATTTTGACACAGAAGATTTATAAAGATTGAATGAGATTCTATGATAAAACATTTAGAATAGTATCTAGCAAAAAAATAAATAAACAAACCAAACAAAAAAAAGAATAGTATCTAGCACCAAGAAATAAATAATCCTCACCACTGGACCAAATAGACAGCATCATGATAGTGGAGAAAAGATTGAAGTTGTCACTGATTTCATTTTATCAGGGTACACAAACAGCAGCATTTTTTACCAGCAGAGAGAAAATAAAAAGACGCATTATTTTATGAAAATATACAGTCAAAGTGTTACAGAGCAAGGGTGTCAGTTTAAAGACTAAGGTGCACCTGATACAAACCATACTCTTTTTGGTTATCTCTTGTAGGGTAGTAAATAAAGATGACAGAAGATTAGGCAATGTATTTGAATTGTGGTTCTAGCAAAGAATATTGAATATCTCATAGCCTGACAAAACAACAAGCCAATCAGTCTTGGAAGAACTGCAACCAGAGCACCACTTAGAGGCAAAGATAGTGAAAATTCATCTCATATGCTTTGCTTTTATTGTGATTTTAACGAAAGGTTACAGAAAAGTTGGAGCTTCTCTAATTGATTTTTGCTCGTTCTATAGCCTACCCTCCTGTTCACTTAGAAAAACCTCAGCTGATTCATTGCTGCATAATTTCCTCCCTCTCCCCCCCAGATCTTCCTCAGTCCACTTTGCGATGCACCTCTTATTTTGAATTTTTTTCAAACAGAAAATATCTAATCTTATATTCCTTTTGATAAATGTTGATAGACTTAAGGTTCATAGGATTGCTATGAGTCATGCTCAACTCAAAGGCAATCAAAACCAACAACATATTCTTTTTAATAAGTTTTTTTCCCATCTGTTTAAATGCAGTGTTTGTTATTTATCCCCTCTTTTCTCTATTTACCCCCAACTACCATGCCAGTCTTATTTTATAACAGTGTGGTATTTGTCCTTTTGTGACTGAGATATTTCACTCAGTATATTTTTCCTTTTGTGATTGAGATATTTCACTCAGTATAATGTCCTCCAGGGTCACCCATTTTTTTTATTTCAATGAACATCTACAGAGATTTTGGAATTCCATGCATTCATTGTTGCAATTTTCTCCCCGCCCACCCCCCACCCCACGTTCACTCCTCTCTTTAAAAAGCAAAAGAAAAACTCCTTCATTGGTACACAATCCCCCCCACATCCCACCCAACCCCACCCCACCCAAAATATAATCCACTCTGCAACCCTCATTCCATACTATTATGATAAACATAATGCCCTAAAATATAATACTTTTAAACTATTCTCTCCCTTATAGACTTCAATGCAGTAAACATAATTTATCCAGTTTTTCTCAGTCTTACCCCCACCCCAATGTCAGCCTCATTCTACAACAGTGGCACCATATAGCATTTGTCCCTTTGTAAAAGGCGAAAGATTTATTCGATCTGAAGAGAAACAAGAGTATATGGGAGCTCTGGTGGCCTAGTGGCAAGACGCTGCACTGCAATCCCAGAGGCATGTGGTTCAAATCCACCAGATGCTCTACTGGAGAAGGAGGGGTCAATCTCCTCCGGTACCAGTCAGATCTGATTTGATGGTACGCATTTTTCCCTTTGTCACTGAGATATTTCACTCAGCATCATATTCTCCAGGGTCACCCATTTTGAATAATATTGCATGAGTTCCTTGTTTTTCAATGCAGCGTAGTATTCCATTGTGTGAATATACCACAACTTCTCTGTTCATTCATTTGTTGATGGGCACTTGGGTTGTTCCCAACTCCTTGCTATTGTGAACAAAGCTGTGATAAACATGGGTATGACTGTATCTACTTGGATGTCGTTTATGGTCTCTTTAGGGTATATTCCCAGTAGTGGAATGGCTGGGTCAAATGGTATCTCTATTTGCAACTTTTTGAGAAAACACCACACCGCTTTCAACAGTGGTTGCACCGTTTTACACTCCTACCAACAGTGAATAAGGGTTCCAGTCTCCCCACAACCTTGCCAGAATTTGTTGCTTACAGTTCTGTGAAATTTTGCTAGTCTTACTGGGGTGAGATGATATCTCGTAGTTGTCTTGATTTGCATCTCTCTGAGAGCTAGGGATTTTGAACATTTCTTCATGTGTTTTTTGGGCGTCTGAATGTCTTCTTTGGGGAAGTGTCTGTTCATATCCTACAGGGTCACCGATTTTGAATAATATTGCATGAGTTCCTTGTTTTTCAGTGCAGTATAGTATTCCATTGTGTGAATATACCACAGCTCCTCTATCCATTCGTTTCTTGATGGGCACTTAGGTTGTTTCCAGCTCCTTGCTATGGTGAACAAAGCTGCGACAAACATGGGTGTGCATATATCTGCTTGGATGTCGGTTATGGTCTCTTTAGGGTATATTCCCAGTACTGGAATTGCTGGGTCAAATGGTATTTCTATTTGCAACTTTTTGAGAAAGTGCCACACCACTTTCCACAGTGGTTGCACCATTTTACACTTCCACCAACAGTTAATAAGAGTTCCAGTTTCTCCACAACATTGCCAGCATTTGTTGCTTGTTGTTTCTTTAGGGTATAATACCAGTAGTGCAATTTCTGGGTCAAATGGTATTTTTATTTCCAACTTTTTTTTTTAGGTGAGAGAAGACTTCATTGTTTTAGTCAACACTTTTGTAAGGACCTTCTAGACAGCATGCTTCTTCCTTGCTTGAGTCCTGAACCCACTAAAAGTAGGACAAGAGTATAAGGGACGTGGGAGACAAAATACCACTGATTGTGGAGATTAAATTGATTTCTTGCCCTTGAGTGAGACCTCTTATCATACCACAGAGAATACTGGATCATGTGAGAGTTTTCCAGCAGGTCAGAGGGCTAACTCACAGGCGGAGGACATAGGCTGATTGTAGGAGGGAGAGAAGAGTGGCTTGTTCCTAAACCCACCGATTAGGTATTTCCAACTTTTTAAGAAAGCAGGAAACCACTTTCCATAGTGGTTACACCATTTTACATTCCCACCAGCAGAGAATAAGTGTTCCAATCTCTCTGCAACCTTGAGAGCTTGTTATTTGCTGCTCTGTTGAACTTTACTATTGTTACTGGGGAGAGATGTTGTTGTTGTTGTTATGTGCCATCGAGTCGCTTGTGCCTCATAGCGACCCTATGTACAACATCCCTAAACTCTGCTCTGTCCTGTGCCAGTTGTGCCAATTGCACCGTCTCCGATACACCCATCCCCATTACCCCAATCACTGAATCAAATCACCTCATGGGGGCCTTCCCTTTCTGCACTGTCCCTCCACCCTAACAAGCATGATGTCCCTCTCCAAGGACCTTTCCTTCCTTGCAATATGTCCAAAGTATGTTAGATGGAGCCTTAGAATCCTTGCCTCCAAGGAGCAGCACGGTTTGACCCTTTCCAGGATGAATCTGTTGTCTTAGCAATCCATGGTGCCCTGAATACTCTTCTCCAGCACCACAGCTCAAAGGCATTAATTCTCCTTCTATCCTCCTTTAGTCATTGTCCAACTCTCTGATGCATAACAAGTGATAGCAAAGACCTGTCAGAAGAGACTCTGAAAATTGCACTAGAGCGCAGAGAAGCCAAAGCAGAGGGAAGAATTCAAGATACTAAAGAGTTGAATAGAAGATTTCAAAAGGCAGCACGGGA